GCCTAGAGAAGCAGATGCGCTCCAAGTGCAAATTCTGCTTTTTTTGTAAATGGCACAGATAATCACACAAAAGACAGTGCTGTAAGTTTTGTCTCCGATTCAAGATCTTTTCATGAAGAGCTGCATTTATAATCAGCTCTGATATTACACTGCATATAGAAGAGGCCTCTGAGTACTGCATGATGAAAATCAAAGAGCAATCTAATACACTTAACAGACTGACCGATTGATTATAAGTGAATGTGTCGGTGTGGTGTGAGATGAGGAACTAATGAAACTGTCAATCAGTTAAGACGTACAGGTAAGTTATATGCCATATAAATGAGGTCAGGCTGGCAGTCGGTAAGATGAATCAGGACAATCTGCTCTTTCACTCTCACCTGCTGTGTGAGCCAATCCAGTCAATACAGAATAATCACAACTGCTGCATACATCCATACATGCAAGGATACACATGAACATACACATTAAAAATATTACAAGAGCAGCTTTTGATAATCAGGATTTCACATAGAAAAAGATATATGTAAAGATAACGTACAATTATTGCAAAATCTTATATTGTGGCACCTTGAAGGGATTTCTTTTGTGATAATGAGCAGCTGTAATTGTCCTGTTTATTATATAGATACTTACCAAAACAATAAATAAATGTTCATGAAATATTAGTAACACTTTACAATAAGGTACCATTAGTTAATACATTACTAACTGTATTTATTAATCTTTGTTAACTTTAATAAAAATACAATGATCACACTTTTTTAAAGTCCAATTCTTGCTATTTTGCCTCAATAAACTCCTAATTACAACAAATTATTCAACTAGTACAATACGGTCCTGCAGAATTTTTAAGTGCTAATAAATAGCCAATATGCTAGTAATATGCAAGCTGATATGCAACTAGTTAATAGTAAGAATTGGTCCCTATACTAAAGTGTTACAAATACAACCGTTCATTATTAGTTCATTTTAGCTCGTCCATTAAATAATATAAGATCAGATACAACTTTTGGTTGTATAATGTATTGGTAAAGGTTAAAATTAACATTAGCCAAGATTAATAAATGCTTTAGAACTATTTTTCATTGTTAGGTTATGTTAATTAATGTGGTTAACTAATGTTAAAGGGGTCCTATTATGCTTTTTCACTTTTTCAACTTTAGTTAGTCTGTAATGTTGCTGTTTGAGCATAAAAAATATCTGCAAAGTTACAAAGTTCAAAGTCCACTTCAAAAGGAGATATTTAACAGAAATTTAACAGAAACTTTTCAAAAACTGTAACGAACAACTCATTTGGACTACAACGCATATTTTCCGGGATTTATATCACATAATCACATATATCACTTATATCACAAATATCGACGAATGGGACGAGACCTGGTTGAGCTGCACTAGAGAAGGCAACGAGTGTTATCACTATGTCGGGGACACGCTAGCTTTCCCTTGGCAGACGAACTTAGAGTGGTTACAATCATCCGGGTTTAAATCGTGCTCAAATTGATTTGATTTTGACGCAATATTTACACTGAAGCTCGCAGGCGGCTATGGTAAGGGGCGTGACATTTCCCGACCAGGCGCCGAGTGGTGCCAATCACAACACACACTGGCCCAGCTAACCAATCACAGCACATTTCCTATTTCAGAAGGCGGGCCTTCATTTGATACAGGAACTATTCGAGCCGTTCATGCCAGACTGGGGAGAGAGGTGTTGTAATAATGTAAAATATGTGAAAAATACGAGGAGGAACGGAACGAGGAGACGAGGAATAAACTTCTAACGAACAGACTTTAACTGACATCAAACTGGAACTTGGGAGGAGGCTCGGGAGGAGGACGGACACCCAGGAGGGGGCCAGCAGACAGAGTCCAGGGAGGTGACGATGGAGGGAGGAGCCAGGGAGGCGATAAGAAGGACTTGGAGTAGGAAGGGCCAAGCAGGACCCAGGCCACAGTCATGATGGCGACCCATGGTCGAGCCGACAGAGGGAGGAGCCATGGAGGAGGAAGGGCCGACGACTCCAGGGGGCCAACCAACGGCGGTGGAGCAGGTGGCGGAGGAGCCCGAGGCCAAGGCAGAGCAGATGGTGCCGGCAACTGACGCGGAGGCGTGGATCAAAAAGGCCGTGGTGGAGCCAGAGCGACAGAGGACTGAGGAGGAGCCGAAGGGATGAAGAAGCCTGAGGGAGCCGGATAGATAGCCCTCTCTGGGCTAAACTCGGGGACTGGAGCCATCTCTGGGCTAAACTCAGGGACTGGAGCCCTCTCTCTGCTGGACTGGGAAACGGGAGCCCACTCAGGGCTGGATGGGACCAGCGGGGACGAAGGAGAGAGGTGAGGGGGCAAGTCGGCTTCCAGCTCAGTTTCCCAGTCTATAAGGTCCCCCTCGAAGTCCAGCAGTCCCAGCTGTATAATCAGCTCACCCTCAGCCGCGGTGCAGTTGGCGGAGCTCCACTCCGCGCTCACTCGGTCCACGGCATTCTCCCTCATGGTGGGCTCTGTTGCCGGCTCTCACACCTTGACTGACGTCACTTGCAGCTCCAGCTCCGCGGCGATCTGTTGCTCTGTTGCTCCATGCAGCAATGGCTTGTCGGCCGCGGCGAGCTTGGGCTCTCCGTCAGCGGTGGGCTTCAGCATGCACTCCGCGCAGCGGGGAGATGGTGGGCTGGGTACTGGGTCAGGAGTGGATCCAGCGAGATCATTCACGGGGCAGATGGTGAATGGCAATCCATTTCTCGCCAGAATCCACTCCACGAAGGCGGCAAAATTCGCTCGGACAATGGACAATGGCGCTCTGCACGCGGTGTTCAGGCAGGCGTCATAGAATGTGCAGAGTGTGTCGTCCGGATAGCTGGTGAGTTCGACGAGGGCCAAAAACACTCGAGTGATCTTTCCCCCTGCTCCAGCAGGAGGAGGAGTTATTCAGGGTGGGTGAGCGAACACTACGAGAGGGAACACTACGGAAACAAAAAACACTGAGGAAAAAATGGAAACAAAAATGGAGGGAACACACAGAGGTAACTGTTATCGGTCTAGTATTCTGTCACGTTTGCTACTGTGAGGAGCACGGAGCGAGGAACGAGGAACGAGGAGATGAGGAGTAAACTTCCAACGAACAGACTTTAATTGACATCAAACGAACCAGGAACACACACATAGCGGGGAAAGATGTCATTCAATACCAGACAAACCTAGAAAGCACAGACAGGACCTTAAATACATGGGATAATTGGCAACACACACCTGGAACTCAATAAACAATTAACAAGGGAAAACTGGGTCATGGAGCACGTGGAGAGGGAAAAACACACAGAATGAGTCCAGGGGCGTGACACAGTGGAACCATATGTGGAGCAGATTAAAACACTGCTTTATGTTTAATCCAGATGATTCAATGACTCCACAACAACATCAAGGTTGTTCACCTTCCATTGTTAAAGTCAGACTCAATTCAAAAATGGACAGTATTCAAAAATTGAATTTTAGATTGCATGTTGAAGGAAAAACCATGAAATAAAAACTTTATTCCAAGGCCATCCAAATCCATTCATTCTCCAAACTGCTTGTCCAAGGATGCTGGAGCCTAAAAGCCTAGAAATACCACTTAACAGAGCAGATCATTATGATATTGATTTTATGAGATTATAAACACAATGCAAATCAAACACCATAATGGATAGTGTATAATGTGTAGCATATTGTTATTCTATTGTTAACTGATATACGTTGCCATTGAGATACGTCTCAGTTTACTATATCTCTGCAATTTCAAGCTAGCTAAAATTCACTTTTGACTTTTGAACAGCAAGCATGCATTACAATGTTTTATATTCAAGCCTATTATGTACAATCATTCAACCAAACATCCCTTTTACCAAGCAAAGAAAATAAAATTTAACATATTATTGTATAACAACAGATGACGCAATCCTTAATTAATGAAACAAAAACTTAAACTCAAACCTCAAACTTGTAGTTTTACAAGAGATTGGATGAACTGTTACTCAACATCAACATAGAAACACTTTCAGCAAAGTATTATCAAGTGAATCAAAAGCAGGCCACTCTCATATGTTGGTTAAACAAATGCTAGAGAAGTAGGCCTGCTTAATCGGAGTCAGTTTTATAACAACAAATGTCGTTATACTGAGTTTTCCAGTAAATAGAGAGGGAAAGTGAAAGGCAAACACATGGGCAGTTATTAGAGAAGCAACTCATAATAATGGGTTTGGTATAATTACCTCAATGCAGGAATAAACATAAAACAGACTGTAATAAAGCAACCCCTGCTGTGCCTCTGAAAATACACTAAAACACAAACAAACAGTAGTATTTCCACTGAATCATGAGAAATGCATCCGAGCCAAGGGCCTGCAATGAGTAAATAATGAAAGAACAATCTCTATCCTTTCTGAGCTATTAGGAAACACTAAGTTATGAGGAAAGTAAACGCACTTACAGAAGTATTTGGCTTCAAGATAGGAATGCTGCCGCTGGTATTCAGGAAATACAAAACCTTCAGTAAGGAGGACAATGAAATATGGAGGAATGCTGTCTGTCTGTGAAGCACACTATACAACTTCACACAGAGATAGAAGGAAACTAAAGCAACAGCGAGTAAAGTATTTATGACATGTTTTCATGCATCACATCTTCACTTCCACAGAACTCGACTTGCCAGTTCAACAGAACCTTTTGGAATTCCTCAATGTCTTGACATAAATAAAGCAGTTAATTCATTCTCATCTCCACGTAATCCCTGCCACAGACGCACATGGTTTAGATTTAATCTAGTATTATCCAACGAAAACCTGTCAAATGGTTTAAGCATCAAATGTCAGGCAGATCCATCCTGAAATGACCCCTCGGAAGCATTCTGTGGACATTCCCCATTACAGGATGCAAAATCTGTAAACATTGTTTCCAAAATCCTAGCTTCGCATACTTTATCGTTAACCTCTATTGTGATCTAAAATAAAACAGGAAGGCCAACCCACCTGTAGGGCACATGGTAAAAGGGGTGAGCGGGATGAGGTTGGTAATGGTTGGAATATCCTGACTGGCTCCACATGTTTAATCCCAACAGCTCCAAGAGTCAAACTTCCAACTGAATGACGGGATGACTGACACTTACTGAAAGTCCAGTTCTGCTTTCATTTGAATAGATTCAGAGAGGAAAACACTGCAGGAAAGGGAACGAATCAGTCAAAGGAAAGAGTCCCCAGAAGAGCCCTAATGGAATAGTTCCAGAATCTCAATCTCATCCGTTTCTCAAGAGAGAGCAGCAGAGATGTTTCAGAGCTCCATGGCCATCAAAACGCAAAACAGGTAAAACCAGCATGTTTCACCGTTGAAGCGGGCAAAGGCGTAAGCATCGTGATTTTGCTGTCTGTGTGGAGTCTCCTATCTCCGACGCTCCTGTTTCCTCACCGGCTCACACAGTCACCAGCCTGCGCACACACACACGCACACACACAAATACACACCAGTCTTCTGCTCTGACGTAGCGCTGCACACACTCACAGGGAGGAGGGAGAGAGGAAGGGAGGGGTGAAGAAGCGAACCTACTCTTTTTGAATCTCTGCCTGCTTCTGTCATACAGGATGTGCAGTGTTTTTGGGAGGAGAGATCTGAGCACAGGAATGAGACAAAAATCAGGAGAATGGTCTGGAAATTTCATTAATCAGTAAATAAATAAATTGTACTTAAAGTCTACTTTAGAGATAAATCCCAGCATTCCAGTCTGAAACTGAAATTGCTTACTTCACAGACAAGGTGCTGTTCACTTTGCATTCTACTTTGCTGCTTTTCCATTTATTTTCCTATGTAAACATACATTGTAATTTTTAATCAAAATGTCATAAATCGATCTTCTGGCAAAGCGACAGACATTATGCAGGACTTCTCTAATCATTTAGTCAGCTTAAACCCCAAACTTTCACACAACTGATTGTGAACTTGCATTCAGATCTGCCTCAATCCAATCATTCAATTGATAGATAGAACCAAGTCCCCTATACTATTTTTGATAATCTATTTTACTCATTTATTTCAAAATACATTTTAAAAATCTTTCACTACCTCCTTTACATTGAGACTTAAAAGGTTTTAATTATAGGAAAAGAAAAGTATCAGTTAATGAAGTGTGAGGGGCATTGAAATCACAGTTTCAATCTTTATGAGCTCCAAGCTGGCACTAGAAAATGATCTCATTTAGGCCTTCACTGGAGTTGAATGTGAATTTAAGTGAATTATGTGAAAGCTAAAACTTTGGCTCCACAAAGCAGTGATTAAAATAGGAGAAGATAAGTCATAGTCTGTCTTCGCCCAAGATATGCTTTGTTTTTAGTTGGAGTCAGCACAAAGAAAGCTTTAAAATAACTCCTCCATGTATTCATTCCTACTTAGTCTATTTTGTAGTTTTCTTAAAGTCATCATGGAATGAAAATTCACCCTATCCATTCAAATGCATATTATAGATTGTACTGTGAAGGATTTATTCAAAATTTACACTTTTTTGACTTTGTAATGTTGAATTAAAATGTCATAACTTTCAGTAAATTCACAAAAAATATGAAAACCCTGTCACTAAACCTTATGTTGTCTTCCTAGAATACAAATGCAGATGTTTTGTAGAATATCTAAAATACTCTTTAAATAGAAAATAATTTTGATATGCCAGGTCAAGATGCATTAAACTAGGTTTGACATGATCAGTGATGGGACACAAAAGAAAAAAAACAATGTTAAACTTTCTTAATGTTTATGCATGTTTAAACAGAACTGGATTTGAGATATGTGACCCTGGACCACAAAACCAGTCATAAGGCTAAATTTTTCGAAATTGAGGTTTATGCAATTTTTATTTGGCCGAGATACAACTATTTGAAAATCTGGAATCTGAGGGTGCAAAAAAATCAAAATATTGAGAAAATCACCTTTAAAGTTGTCCAAAAGTTCTTAGCAATGCATATTACCAATCAAAAATTAAGTTTTAATATATTTATGGTAGGAAATTTACTAAATATCTTCATGGAACATGATCCTTACTTAATATCCTAATGATTTTTTGGCATAAAATCAAAATTTTTACCCATAAAATGTATTTTTGGCTATTGCTACAAATATACCCGTGCGACTTCAGACTGGTTTTGTGGTTCAGGGTCACATATATGGATATTATGAAAAGATCACTTTACTAGACGACTAGATGTTCTTTTTCCAAAGTCACAGTATTTGAAACAACACATTGGTGATGGCAGAATATTCATTATAAGGTAACACTTTATGGCAACGAGGGTTACTGTTGAAAAATTTAAATTAGAAATGAAGCAAAACAAAGGTGTATTCGAAATAACCTTCTTAAAAGAGAAGAGATCACCCTCTTCTCCATGCACGTGCAATTACAAGTAAATCCCAGCTTGGAGCATTGAAGGGCTGACAGAGCTTTATTTAAATCAGTGAGTAAGAGTTAGAGTAATGAGCTACATTAAATAAGACATAGAGGTTAAGCTGGCTAGCCAGTGACTGGCACAATCCTCGATCACTACTGACCAGAGCTGAATATCAGCAAACACCTACACTGTGGTGCAGTAAATATGCAATGCCTCATGATTCAATATATTATGATGCATCATAATATAATCGTAAATGAACCTGCACCACTGTATGTCACGGATTCTCCTTAAAGCTTTGCACATGTTACTAACAGTTGTGAGATTTTCACGGTCATAAGATCTGAATGTGTGGTCTGGTCAATGTTATCTGCTTAAGGGAAGTGTGTGATTAGTGACGTACATAAGCTTATCGGCAGCCCACAGCAGTATGCAGCACATACAGTCATCAAAGTCATGGGGACATCTTCCCTGATGTGTAAGGATTTGCCCTATAAATCTTACCACCATCCTCTTTCTCTGTGTGTCATCACAGAAACCCAAGCTCACAGAGTTACAGAGAGACCTTGTGTAGAATATTCTGGTACACGGAATGAGTTCAGACTTGCAGGCGATTATTAAAGGAAAGCCATATGCTTCAATAATTCACAAAACTCCCAATTTAAGTGACTAATACACAAAACCAATGCTAGAGAAAAAAACATTTGTCTATTTGGACCTTTGAGTCAAAACCTTACAGCTACTGATACCTTGTGATAATTTTTCCTGACTCACAATAAAAACAATACCACAGGAAGCCGCAAACAGACCAACAACACTAATGTTCAAATGTTTTGAGTTGGTAATACCTTTTTAGACCATGACGTAAGAAATTCCGAGAATAAGAAAATGAAGATATTTGTAAAAATAAATAAATAAATAAATGTTATATATGTAGATAGATAGATAGATAGATAGATAGGTAGATAGATAGACATCCCTAAAATAAAACAGAATTTATTCCTGTGATTTTTGAATTTTCAGCAGCCATTATTCTATTCTTCAGTGTCACATGATCCTTTAGAAATCTTTCTATGCTGATTTGATTCACAAGAAACATTTGTTATCATAATCAATGTTGAAAACTTATGGTGTACAGAAATTCTAATCTATGCTTTACTGTATGTATCTTCGCTACTGCCATCTCAAGAGCATCTATGAACCAGATATTGTATTCCAGATCTCAGCAGACTCACAGAACTTACTATTAATACATCCAACATAGCCTGCAGGTCTTAACAACACTATTCCAAAACCAGTAATATTTGTCAAGACAGAGATATTATTGGACAGGAATATCAATACCAATAGCAATTTGGAATAAGCTTACAGCTGAGATGAAATGCAATTAAATTAAACAGGTCTTGGTTAATGTATTACATCAAGTAACAGACATTGAATTTCAAAATCATAATAAGTGAATGAATAATGACTACGTTTGTAATGTAAATCAAATGTAAATCTACAATTCTTTAAGGAATAGGCCTATTATGCAACAGATCAAGACTCCTGTTTCAGAATCAAATGAAGGGCAAGTATTTGAATATTTTATAATATTTATATTATAAATATTTATAATATTTGAAAACATTCCTTTTGAATAAAAACCTTATGATGCTTATGTTTACCCAGTATGATGCTCGAGACTTGTACAGAATGACCCAAGACTAGCTTGTTGGAATGAATATTTTCTTTTGCAGTGCATTCAGAATGCAATATCAGTCAGTGAGTGTGTGAGTATGTGTGTGTGTGTTTGTGTGTGTGTGTGTGTGTGTGTGCGCGCGTTTTTGTGACAAATGAGGACATAAATTTGTATAATGACAAGGGTATGACATAGGTATTACAAGGAGAAGGTGACTTTTCAGGACATTACCCCATGTCCCCACTTTTCAAAACGCTTATAAATCACACAGAATGGAGTGTATTGAAAATCTGAAATAACACAAAGTCTCCTGTAAGGGGTAGGTTTAGGGGTAGGGTTGGTGTAGGGCAATAGCACATACAGTTTGTACAGTATAAAAACCATTACGCCTATGGGATGTCCCCACTTTTCACAAAAACAAACCTGAGTGTTTGTGTGTGTGTGTGTGTGTGTGTGTGTGTGTATGCAACTGAGTCAAAGTTTTTCACAATGGCCATGAAAATGCGCCGTGAACCAGTCAATCATCTTCTTTCATTAAAGCTCTATTAACTTCCATTACCTCCTTTAACAAACACTCACTGACCTAGTTAAATAATGACTTGAAGTCCTGTCAAAACATCAAAGGTTTAATTTTAAGCTAAATATGGATGCACTTAAATCAAAGTTTTCACAGAGCGGACAAATCCTCATTTCACAGGCCATGGACTTCACTGAAAAGCTGAAATTGGGATAATCTCTCCCTTTGAAAGGTGTCTGTGGGGAAGATTTTCTTTTAGTGTTTGATGTAAACAGGCCAAATTTCTGCAGGTCACACTTTGGAAAGAAAACAGACATCTGGGCCCGTATTGATCAAGCTTCTTAAAGTGCCATTTTAGTCTTAAGTGCTAAGAATTCATTAAATTTACTCCTACTTTCAAACTTAAGTATAAAAGCAAGTTATCAAATTTCTTAAAGCTAAGAAACACTCTTACTCTCGCAGTTATTTAAGACAGCTCGAGAGGTCTCTCAAGTGGCTAGGAGTTGCCAGTAGGGGCTTGTGATGGCACTGAGGAGACAGAGACGTGCGCAAATCTTTCATGAGAGGAAGAATGTTCTTGAAATGTTTGACGACGAGCAGTTAATAAAACAGTTACATTTCCTCAGTTATTCAAACAGAAACGAGCAAAGAATATTTACATTACCAAAGAACATCATAACTGACTTCAGTCTAGCGCGAGTATTATATGCTCTTTAAAAACACTCACGTTATAATCAGTGAAGCTACCTACACTGTATCATGAATAAATCTCTTACCCCTTATTTACACTGCACACGTCTGCGGTGCGTTACGGCCACCGGAGCTGATCACGGCTACTCACCCGTTTCTGAAGTGGCTCTCCGCGCTGC